TCTACAATTACACATTATAGAACACACTTTATAAATACTATGTGATATGCATAAAAAGGGTAACTACAAGAAAGATAGCAAGTTTTTCAATGAGAAAATTATTTTAAAAGGAAAACATGTAGAACCAATGTTTTCACTCCAATTTCAATTGAGAGCATCCAGATTTTCAATGTTGTTCTCATCTTTTTGGTCAGAAGCACCAGATTTTATACTGGAAGAACTGGATGTGGTTAGGGTATAAGATGGCTATTAAGTATATCCAAATTATTAAAACAGCATATACCAATGGCTTGTATACTATTTCAGACAAGCACAAAAAGCTTATACTGTCAGAGGAAACTTCGAAAGAATAGAGTCTGTAGTGTCTTAGAGTTGAGGAAAAGGGGCAGTACAGACTGTGGGGAGGTGAGGGGGGAGACAGCACCATAAGTTTTCCTATAATGTAAATGTAACAAAGTTGGTTTTCTACTGTATTGCACCACAGTCCAGAAGTAAAACAACTAAATGAAAATGTAAGTAAATCTGAATGAAAAAGCTCAAAAGAACAATGTGAGTACCAAACTAAAAATGCTTGAATTAGTTTGTTTTGCATAGGATTTTATAGAACTAAACAATGTTCCATGAAACGAAGACTGCCATCTTATGGAAGTGCATTCTTAAAATTCTCTGATCTGAAATCCTTTAGAAATATTTCTTTATCACGCTTGAAATGAGCCAAACATTTTAGTGCCCTCAAAATGGTGTGTCTAAAACATCTTAGCATTCTTCCAGCAAGAGAGGTATTCATAGTGTCATCTTATCACATGCTACAGATCTTTACCATCACAAATTACCAGTATTTCCACAAGATGTTCTAATCTCAGTATTGATCAGTAAATTAAAAGTGAAATTCTTAGTTTAACATGGCAATTTTCTTACAGGACAGAGGTCCTTAACCTGTACTTTGTGACAGGTTTCAACATGCCCTGAATGTCCTAAAACTGCATGCAACATTTTTTGCATATGTGTTGCTGTGCACTTTTTTCTGAGACGAGAGTCCTTGGCTTTCATCAGATTCTCAAAAGAATCAGTGACCCCAAAGATCCATTAATACATGGCAGTGGTTTTCAAGCTGAGCTCTGAGAGGGCCACTTATAGAAAGGTGGGAAGTGTGAACTAATGTTTTCCCCTCCCCTCAATTCAACCAAGACAGCTTTCCCTTTAATGTTACTATACATATGGTCTCCATCAGCTTTCACATGAAGAAAGCTGGAAGTCTGTAAATCACTAAAATTTTGCCTTTTACCTACAGACATTAAGTTTTGATAAAATAATTGCATATCAATGAAGCTTAAGCAAAGGCAATAAAATATGAATTTTACTAAGGTTAGGATGGAGTCCAATTTCCCTTCCTAAAAGATCTATATGTATTTTGGTATGAAACCACCTTATATAAATAGAAATATTGAAAAACATTATTAACCTTAAATAAGTTAGGACTTGAATTTTCTACTAAGACCACTATGTAAATTTTCCTGGTTACTAATGGCCATCACAATTAAGAGTTAAGAATTATTTTTCTCACCAGTTAATCTGCTCTTAGATAAAATATTGTCAAACAGCCACATTTTCCTTTGCCAAAAACAATCTGTATATGCAACACTGTTCTGAAAAAAGAAACCTACAACATTGATGACATAATAAAAACTAGTCATTGTACAGAAAAAGTACTTTCCCCCCCTCAGTGCTGGGATTGACGCCAGAGCCTGGCAGTCTACCACTGACCTACATCCTTAACCCCTAGAAAAAGTACTTTTTTTAGTGAGTATGCACAAATAAATTCTAATCAAAGTTTTATATAAACTGAAAGTAATTTCTCTGGCTAAGGTGGAGGAACTTTAAAATTTCAAAGTAAAAATATGAAAGATCTTATCTTTTAGTATTTGAAAAATTTGATTTATGGCAACTTTGTTCCCTTTTAAAACTTGGAAGCAGCAATAATACCAATATGGAAGAAAACTTGTAGTGCTTTGGCTTCTTTTTAAAGCCAGTAATTACTGAGGAAAAAAAAATGCTAAATGAAATATTCCACAGAGGGAGGAAAAAAGACACTTTCATTATTTTTCCTTCTGATGAACATATGTTTCCAACTTCTATTTCCTGTTTCAGCACAATACTTATATAGATTATCATTAGCCTGGGAAAACTCTCCACAGTGATGGCTTAATTTCTCTAGCTTATTTTGTACCCAAAACAAGGTTATGAGGGAAAAGAACTCTGTAAATAAGGGTATGTTTTATATTTGGTTAAAGCAAGATAAAACTAAAACTGTTTTCAAAAAATTTTCAAAAACTCTGGAATTTTAAACTTATTTAGCATATATACAAATAGATACCAGGTTTCTCCTTTTCAACAAAGCACTATTTTTTTATTTTAAGTACTTTAAGTACCAAGAACTGACTATAATATTCAGTTCATAATTTAATTTCCTTATAACAATTTTTTCTACATTACTGATTTAAAAGGCTGGAATAAATTAACATTTTAAAAGAATTTAGGAAAATAAAATATTGTACACAGAGCTCACATACATAGCTCTGCTACATTTGCATAATTTTATTCTTGGAACTTCAAAAAATCCTGCATCTCAGGCCTTTTTCCAATCCTCATAACAAGTATTTCCTAGTGCGTTAAACATACACTAGATCACGATTTTTAATCTCTGAGCCTGTTTGCTGATCATCTTCATCCGACTGTTGCTCTGAGCTTTGTGAATTAATGTAGTCATATTCAATAGGCTTTGGATAATTGTATGGGTAGCCATTGTCATCAAAAAACCTTCGAAAGGTAAATTCATAGAAAGCATGTTCAGGGTGCTTTCCATTTTTGTACCATCCGTTGAGAGTATCATTTACATTTTCTTCCTCATTATCATCACTCCATAACTTATCAGGATCAACAGGATCAAAATTTGATGTATCTGTTGGGTGTGTGATTTTAGGAATGTATGAAGCAGACTGCTGTCTCAGATCACTGGAAAAATCAATTGTTTTAAAAAATGGATGAGCTTTTATTTCATCAGCACCATTCTTCCCTAAGCGATCTTCTGGTCCTCGGCAAAGTTTAATGATCAGATCAGAGGCTTCTGGACTCAGTTTAGCTTGTGGAGGAATGTGAAGAGATGTCTGCCAATTGATAACCTTTAAAGAAGATTTTTAAAAGTTAGGAGGGAAGAGATGAAAACCAAAAATTTCTTCCAAGTTTTATACCAAAACTTTACTGGACTATTGGTTATTTTTAATAAATTGAATAGTATTTTACCCTTCATACATTTAAAAATGAATCTGCTGAGAAATAAATTTTCCTCCTGTCCCCTCCTCTCCAGGCAACTTATGAACTTATGTTCACAGAAGACTCAGAATGTTTTTTTTTTTAACCTGCTTTGTTAAGTCCTTCTGGTAGGGATGACTACTTTCACTACTTTACCCTGCCTCCCCTAAGACATAAACTTGTTCCTGTTATAATATTTCTAATACTATTGTGGTACCTATCTATATCCTGTTGGAGTGCAATATTACATAAGGCTAGAAATTATGTTTTAATTGTCTTTGTATTTCCCAGTACTTGGAAAATTGCCTGGCAAATATTAGATGTTCAATAAATCTTTGTTCTTCTTGAGAGTAAAATGAAATAAAGGAAAAAACGAATATCAAGTGAATTCTCAGAGGCAGGGGGTAATGAGAAAAGACTCAGATCATAGAAATAGATTTTGGGTACACCTGATAAGTGCTCAAATGCATTGTAATTTAATTTGGACATCATCAACCTGAGAGGGAATCAATACATTATTTATCAAATAAGTGAATAAATGAACCCATTTTTCCTTATTCATATTGGTACAAATTAGTTAATGTGGAGGGAAGAAAAATAAACTCCTATAGTAGTATCTGTTCATTTTGAAGTTTTATCCTAGGTTAGAAAAAGGAGATACTTCAACTAATAATTTTTTTTTTGGGGGGGGGGGGGGGGGGGGGGAGATCCAGGAATTTTTATTGATTGCTATTTCTTGCCCTCTCCCACATTTTTTTTTCAATTGGTGAATTACAGGTATATATAACATAATGTTTTAAAAATTCTTTTTGGAAAAAATAATGATATAGTAATATTTATATGTGGTTCATCACTTATTTCAGGACAAATGAAAATACGTAATCAATGGGATGTTTTTCTTCTTAACTTTTTTTGGTGACTGGGGATTGAACCCAGAGGAACTTTACGACTGAATGATATCCCCAGCCCATTTAAGTTACTTATTTATTTTTATTTGTTGGTACCAGGGATTGAACCCAGAGGTGCTTAATCACTGAGCTATGTCCCTCTTTTATTTTATTTTTTGGTCCTAGGAATTTAACCCAGGGGTGCTTTACCACTGAGCCATATCCCTAGCCCTTTTCATTTTTTATTTTTGAGATGGGATCTCACTAAATTGCTTAGGGCCTCAAGGTTGCTGAGTCTCGTTTTGAATTTGTGATCCTCCTGCCTCAGCCTTCTGAGTTGCCATGATTTCAGATGTGTACACCATACCTGGCGTATTTTTTATTAAAAGGAACATTCAGGGATTTTTAGTTTATGGTTAAAAAACAAGACACATCAAAACAAAGAGTTAATTTAAAGAAGGATCAATATAAATTATATAAATTGAAGCACTGAAAGAATAAACTAGAATAAAAAATTATTAATAAAGCATAAGGACAAAACGGACAACAACAAATGGATACCATATGTGTAATAAGAAGGATCCCAGAAGGAAAGAAGGAAGCCAAGAAATATTTGAATTGATGACATAATTTGATGAAAGACATAGTAAACCTTGAACAAGATAAATACAAAGAAAACTACATTTAGGTACATTATAGTCAAGCTGCAGAAAATCAAAGAGAAAGAAAATTCTACAAGCAGACAGAGAGGTTCTAGTTTTCAATAAGAAATACTAGGTGTACTCTACCTTATCTTTCCAACAGAATGCAGCTATAAAACCTGGAGAGAATGCCAGAGAAGATATTTGAGGAGCCTATGAAATAAATATCAGCCAGGCTGGCAAGGAGGTGAGGATCCAAAGTATCACTCCTGGTGGTAAGTTTATCGTTTTTTCTCTCTTATCTCTCCCAACCTAAACTCAAGGTAGCCCAAATCATGGAGGAGGCACACACAAACAGTCAGCATTCAAGGAGATGCCCTCCTAGTTCAGGTTCAGGCTCAGGGAGTTCCATGAAAGGAGTTTCTTGGCAGCAATATAGGTGGCAAAAGGTCCTGTAGACACTGAAAACTCTTGAGAGGGAAACTTCTTTTCCAATTGGAAATAAAATCATGCAGCATGTAGTCTCAAGAAGACGGTTAGAGCCAGGTGTGGTGGTGTACACCTATAATCCCAGTGCCTCAAGAGGCTGAGACAGGAGAATCACGAATTGAATTCAAGGGCAGCAATTTATTGAGAACCTGTCTCAAAATTTAAAAAAAAAAGGGCTTAAGGGGCTGGGGTTGTGGCTCAGCGATAGAACACTCACCTAACACATGCAAAGCCCTGGGTTCAATCCTCAGCACCACATAAAAATAAGTAAAAAAGAGAGAGAGAGAGAGAGAGAGAAGATGGGGCTGGGGTTGTGGCTCAGTGGTAGAGTGTTTGCCTAGCATATGTGAGGCACTGGGTTCAATCCTTAGCACCACAAAAAATAAATAAAATAAAGGTATTGTGTCCATCTACAACTAAAAAAACAAAAGGCAGAAGATGGCTCATATATCTGTTGCTTATTTTCTCTCTCCCTCTGTCCTCTTGCTACGTTATCCTGGATGCTGTGCATTTATGTGAAATATACGGCAGAGTGGGGGCAAACAAAGCCTCCTTTTCCGGTCAGAAAACTGAAAAGGGGAGTTCCAGGGAACTAGAAAGTATTATGGACATCATGGGGAGGGAAGAATATTAACCCCATAAAGTTGTTTATGAACTACTGAGCTCACCCTTCAAACTGGATCTACATGGATCTGATGCTAAAGAATATACTAAAGTCAATCATGGTGGCACCTGCCTCTAATCCTAATAACTCAGGAGGCTGAGGCAGGAAGATTTCAAGTTCAAAGTCAGCCTCAGTAACTTAGTGAGACCCTGTCTGAAAATGAAAAATAAAATAAAAAGGGTTGAGGCTGAAGCTCAGTGGCAAAGCACATCTGAGTTAATCCCCAGGGGAGGGCGAAAATTTAAGATGCTTCAATTAAGTGAACACTGAATAGGATAAACCCTAAGAAATCCATGATTTCTTACACGATCACAATACTAAAAATTAAAGAAAATAAATTATTAAAAATGGCAAGGGGGTACTGGGGATATAGTTCAGTTGGTAGGATGCTTGACTTGCATGCATAAGGTTCTGGGTTCAATCCTCAGCACCATTTAAAAAAAAAAAGGCAAGGGAAAATAGTATATTACTTGAAGAATAGGAATGACTACAGATGTCCTATTAAATCAGAGGACAGAAGGAAGTACACATTTTTAAATGCTGCAAGAACTGAAACCATACTGCTATGGGTTTGAATATGGTTTGTTCCCACCCAAACTCATGTTGAGGCCTGGTCCCCTATGTGACAGGATTTAGAAGTGGTAAGGCCTTTAAGAAGCATTTGGAGCCAGGTGTGATGGTACACACTTGTAATCCCAGCTACTTGGGAGGCTGAGGCAAGAGGAACCCAAGTTCAAGGACAGCCTGGGCAACTTAGTAAGACTGTCTCAAAATGAAAAGGGCTGGGGGTATAGCTTAGTGGTAGAGTGCTTGCCTAGCATGTGCAAGGTCCTGGGTTCACCCCTCAGTACCATAAAAATAAATAAATACATAATATTTAAAGAGACATTTGGGACATGAGGGTTCAACCTTCATGAAGGCATTAATGCCATCTCATAGGAATTAGTCAGAGTTCTCACTCTATGGCACTGGATTGGACACCACAGAGCAGGTTATAATAAAGCAAGGCTTCTTTTGTTTGTTTTATCTCTGCCCATGGGTGTTTCTACTTCCAACTTCTACCATGTTATGAAGTGGCATGCGGTCCTTACCACATAAGGCCACCCAATCTTGGGACTTCCCAGTCTCCAGGATGATGAGCAAAAACAGCCTCTTTTCTTTATAAAAATACTGCATCCCTAGGTATTGTTTTACCAACAGAAAATGGATCAAGACATATACCACGTGATAATTTTTTTATCCTAAGGCAGGCAGAGTCAAGACATTCTAAATTTAAGGAAAATTAAAAGATTTTAATCTGTTGCAAGCAAAACTGTTCTAAAATATTTGCTTAGGGAAGCTCTAGAGAACTGATAAAGAATGAATCTTGAGGGCTGGGGCTGTAGCTCAGTGGTAGGACGATCGCCTCACATGTGTGAGGCACTGGGTTCAATCTTCAGCACCACATAAAAATAAATAAAGATATTGTGTCCAAATACAACTAAGAAAGTATGAAAAAAAAAAAAAAGAATGAATCTTGAAACATCAGGAATATAGGAAAAGCAAGGAAAATGCTAAATATGCATCTTTTTGTTTGGGATAGGGGATTGAACTTTTTTACTTTTTATTTTGACAGTCTTGCTAATAAATTGCTGAGGCTGGCCTTGAACTTGCTATCCTCCTGTTTCAGCTTCCAGAATAGCTGAGATTACAGATATGTGCCACTGCACCTGGCTTATTCTTCTCGTATTGAGTTCTTTAAAATAAAATAAGATGATGGTTGCCAGGCACCGTGGTGCATGCTTGTAATCCCAAGGCTCAGGAGGATCAAAGCCAATGTCAGCAAAAGCAAGGCACTAAGCACTCAATGAGACCCTATCTCTAAATAAAATACAAAGTAGGGATGGGGATGTGGCTCAGTGGTTGAATGTCCCTGAGTTCAATCCCTAGTACACCGCACCCTCAAAAAAGATGATGGTTGAAAGCATAAACAGTAACGCTGTTGGATAAGGTTTTAAATGTATACAGGTGTAGTATACAGCTACCACATAAAGGGTAGAGAGTAATAGGAACTAGTAAGGTTCTACATTTATCTCAAAGTGATGAAATACCAATTCTAAGTAGATTGTGAAAGCTTATATGTATTTTCTAGTCACTGGAACAAGCATAAATAAAACTATACAAAGGGATAATATGTTAAAAGCACAACAGAGGGAGATGTCACATACAATGGCCTTTTAGGAAGGTTTGGAGGTCTGCCCTTCCATAAAAATGGCCATTAAATTGTAAAAATCAATTATTTTGAAATTCTAGAACCTGATCAGACACATACAACAACCAGAAGCACAACATGAAGGAGCAACTGTTAAAATTTGGTAAGACAGTAGCATCTGTGATCCAAGTACCATCTACTATCCTCTGAGGGACCCGTCAAGATGCCTGTGTTTGTTTCAACACATCCTGGAAGATTTAAACAGACACAGTTTTGATCCACACAAGAAAATCTGTCAGATCATTGGCCTGGGTTGTTTGTTTTCTTACTCTTGTACTTTGCACGTCCTTCATCTAGTGTAGTTAAAACTGCTGTGTTGGATATATAATTTGCACACTGTAGTTTGTCTTTTCATTTTCTTGACTGTGTCTCTGGTAGAGCCAAACGTCTGAATTTGGATAAAGTCCAAATTATCAACTTTTTCTATTATAGATCATGAGTTTGGTGTCTTTCCTAAGAATTCTTCATCTAACCCTAAGCCCCAAAGTTTTCTCTTATGTTTTCTTCTAAAAACTATTATAGCTTTATGTCTATTATCCCTTCATGTCTAACTCTGCTTTTATTTTTGGTACTGGGGACTGAACCCATGGGTACTTTACCACTACGCTACATTCCTAAACCATTTACTTTTCTGAGACAGAGTCTCACTAAGTTGCTTTAGACCTGGCTAAATTACTAAGGCTGGCCTTGAACTTATGTAAATAGAAAGGAGACCAGTAGAGTACAGGTAGGTGATAAGAGGAGGAAGAGGACGGAAAGGAGAAATGCAAAGGAATGAAACAGACCAAATAGACCAAATTATGCATGTATGAATGAACTCATTTTATGTATAACTATAATGCACCAATACAAAGTTAATTTCTTAAAAAAGACACTTTGAGATAAACTTGAGGGAACATGTTATCAGCAGACCTATACTATAGGAAATTCTAATAAGTTTTAAAATATATTTAATGCAATTATAGAAGTAGTTACACCTTTGAGAAGGGGTCATAGAAGAGATGTTTTCTCAAGATACTCTCAAAGAATAAGAATGATCAAGAGTTAACCAGGCTTATAGTTTTATTTGTAGTATAGTTTTATTTGGGGTTGTTCCAATGATTAGAGAAAGTACAGAAGGTAGGAAGAAGTAAGATTCCAGGTAGAGGGAACAGTATAAATAAAAAACACAGTAAAAATTTAGACTTTAACCCATGTACTAGGAAATATTAAAGGATTTTCAATGGGGCAATGTATGGTCAGTGTGGGCAGAGATACAGGTGTATATTTGTAGTCTGGGGCTAGAATGTGCATGAATGGAGATAAAGCTAAGAGGCAGTGGCTGACAGGGAGTAAATGGAATAAATCTAGAGACTTAAGAACTTTATGAAGATAAAAATAAGTGTAGTTGTGTGGGATAATAAAGTGTATAGTCACAGAGTATATTGAGGGTAGATATGACAGTATTGAGATGGTGGGATGAGGAAGATGGAAATTCATACATGGAATCTTTTTCTCCTTTCTCTCCCTCCCTCTCTCCCTCTCTTTCACTCTCTCCCTGTTCTTCTCCCTTTGTCTCCCTCACAGCTATCGTGAACTGCAACCTCTGAAACCAAGAGCCAAAATAAATCTTTTTTTCTCTCTTAAGAAAAAAAATCTAGGTGAGGTGGCACATGCCTGTAATCCCAGCTGCTTGGGAGGCTGAGGCAGGAGGATTGAGAGTTCAAAGCCAACCATAGCAATAGCAAGGCACTAAGCAACTCAGTGAGACCCTAGCTCTAAATAAAAGACAAAAGAAAGCTGGGGATGTGGCTCTGTGGTTGAGTGCCCCTGAGTTCAAACCCCAATACCCATTAAAAAAAAAAAAATTCATGCATGGAATTTTAGTGGGTTCATATACCCTTATAAATTTATTCTTTAACTCCAGATTAAGATACTTCTAAGTGAAATACAGGTTGAGCACCCCTAATCTAAATATCCAAAGTCTGAAATGCTATACAATCCAAAACGATTTTAGGGCTCACATGATGCCACAAATGGACAATTCCACACCTGACCTCACATGATGATTTTAGTTCAGAAGAAAGAACAGAGGCTAGGGACATAGCTCAGTGGCAAGAACTTGCCTTGCATGTCTGAGGCCTTGGGTTTGTTGTGATTTTGGAATAAACAAAATAGCAACAAAATGCCCACAAAGGCACACTAAAAATGTTGTATAAAATTTCCTTCAGTCTATGTAAGGTGTAATGAAACAAATGAATTTTGTGTTTAGACTTGGGTATCATTACCAAGATATTTCATTATGCATATACAAATATTTGAAAATGTGAACATATATGAAATTTGATACTCAAATTGCACTAATAAATAAAGGCATATGATATAGGGACTCGGTGATAATTCTTTTTTTTTTTTTTCTTTTTTATGGTGTTGGGGATTGAACCCAGGGCCTTGTGCATGCAAGGCAAGTACCCTACCAACTGATTTACATCCCCAGCCCTCTAGGATAATTCTTTTGGTATAGATTCTATACCTTACCTTCATTTGTGTTTCTAATGGTGTCTGTGCCAAGAAAGGAGGCTGTCCCACCAACATTTCAAAAAGAATAACACCAACACTCCACCAGTCACATAACTGTGTATATCCTAAAATAAGATACCAAAAACTTATAAACTTAAAAATGCTCAGAATTAATACAACACTAACATTGATCCACCAATTTACACTCTAAAATCAATATTTCATAATAAGGTTGAAAAATAAGGCATATTTTAGTGTAAATTTTGGTTGTCTAAAGGCCTATTGAGATTATTTATTTTAAAATGCTTTACCTGTTCGCAGCAATACTTCAGGTGCAATATAATTGGGAGTCCCAACCAAAGAATGTGCTAGACATCGCTGGTGCTGGCGTGCAGCTCTCCGCTCTAATGGCTTTAATCTATCTCCACATCGACAATTTGAGGGATCACCCCATTCATTACTGAAGTCCATGCTATCTTGCCGAGGATGGTCTCCTGTACAGAAAAAGAACAACAATAAATGAAAGCAACAAAGACAAAAGTAAATCTAAAGTCTGTTTAATCTTCTGATACCATGATTTTGGGTTAACAACATGTATTAGGTGGTCTAATGAAATTGTTTGGGATTTGGAGCCATGCAGAGTTGATTCTGAATTCTACCTAATCTGCTTAATAGATGTGGGGCTTCAAACTTATTTCTTTCCTTTAAGCTATTGTAAGAAAAGATAGAATGAGGACTGGTGTTGTGGCTCAGTGGTAGTGCGCTCACCCAGCAGGCGCAGGGCCCTAGATTCAATCCTCAGCACCACTAAAAACAAATAAAGGTATTGTGTCCAACTACAACTAAAAAATAAGAATTAAAAAAAAAGAAAAGATAGAATGATACTGAGTGACAATCTAAACTATAAAATATGCCAAATCACTGATGGTGTTTATTATTGACTAGGGCCTGTTTTCTGAGACATGAATAGGAAAACTTTTACATTATGAAAAATGCAAGACTCACTAATTTACTTAAAGTTAAATGATAATAATATAAGTCATGAGTAGGTAGGATTAGGATGTTATTCAGGCCAGGAATGGTGGTACACGCCTGAAATTCCAGTGACTTCAGAGGCTGAGGCAGAAATTCTAGGCCAGCCTCAACAACTTAATGAGGCCTTAAGCAACTTAGTAAGACCCTGTCTCAAAATAAAAAATAATAGCTCAGTGGTAAAGCTCATGCGTTCAATACCTAGTGCGTACATATTTAAAAGTCAAGGCTATTCCTTTACTATTCTGAGCAAATTTTCAAATTAGGTCTGTGATTCATTCAACAAATGACATTAATAAAAAATAAGGTTCTTCATTCGGGCATCTCACATTCTAATATGGGAAGAAACACAACAAATACACAAATTAAAATAGATGACAAGGCTGAAGGTACAGCTCAGTGGTAGCACAGATATTTTACATGCATAAGACCCTAGGTTTGAGCCCAAGCACAACCAAAAAAAAAAAAAAAAAAAGGTGGTGTGGTGTTGGTGCATGCTGTAGTTCCAACTACTCAGAAGGCGAAAGCAGGAGAATCACTTGAATCCAGAAGTTTAGGAATTTAAAGCCAGCCCGAGCAACATAGCAAGACATTGTGTCTTTTAATCCCAGTGACTCAGGAGGCTGAGACACAAGGATCACAAGTTTGCAACCAGCCTCAGCAATTTACTGAAAACTTGTCTCAAAATAAAAAGGGCTGGGGATGTGGCTCAGTGGTTAAGCACCCCTGGGTTAAATTCCCAGTACAATAAAAAAGGAAAAGAAAAAGCTGAGTGTGTTGGCACATGTTTATAATCCCAGCTATATGGGAGGCTAAGGCAGGAGGACCATCAGTTTGAGGCTAGCCTGGACAGCTTACTAAGATCCAGTCTGGGCCTGGGGATGTAGTTCAGTGCCTAGCATATGCAAGACCCTTGGTTCAATCCCTAGTACTGTAAAAGAAAAAAAAAAAAAGGCTGTTACAGATAAGCTGGGACATGGATCTACAGAGAAGTACATAGACATAGATTCAGGGTACATTTTAGTAGTGGCATACACAGGACCTGATGATGGATGGATGAATCAGATGTGAAAATATGGGAAAGAAAATGAAGGTTACCTCAGTGGGCATAGGTGGTGTATAATTTACTAAAATACTAAAATGGGGACTACTCAAAGGAAGCAGACATGAGTATGGCTATTAAGAGTCCCCTATTGCCAATATGACCTCTGAAAAGCCCACTGGAAATCCATGTGGAAACACCCAGTAAATAACAGGATACAGAAATTGGTAATTTCAGAGAGACATCATTTCTGAAAAGAAAGATTTGGAAGTCATTGAATATATACAGCATTTAAAACTATGATGGCATGAAGTAACCTAGAATCATATCTGAAATTAATCTACCTATAATAATCACCTGGGAAGTTTGATTAAAGTATGCTTTCCATTTTCCAGTGAAAAGTTTTATTCAAAAGACTGGAATAGAGCTTAGGGATCATGTTTTTAAGAAGAACTCCAACTAATAATTAAGGTGAATCTGAGGAGACATAAAATTCCATCCATTTAATATTAACCTGCTTGTGTTCACAGAAGCACAGAAGGCTAATAACACCTCAGAGGATTGTTATGAACATTAAATTAGAATATATGTAAAGTACCTAGTACACAGTAAGTATTCAACAAATGTTAGATCAACTTACACTTCCATTAGCGCTTGAAGGAATCTTGGTGAGGCAGTGTGGTGTGGTAGAAATAACATGGGCCCTGTAATCAGACAAACCTGGGTTCAAAGCCTAGCCCTTACACTTAATTTGTGTCTGACCTTGAGCAAGTTACTTATCTAGCTAAGCTTTGTTTTTCTTCATCCTGCCTCATAGTGTCACAGGACTAAATAGAATCTACACATAAAAAGTATTTTGCATTAAATAAACTGTGTAACAGTTGCATAATGGAATCCTAAACAGCAGTGAAAATAAAAGTTACATATAATAACATGGAGAAATCTCAAACAAATAAAAGAAACCAACACAGAAGAATACAATAAAATGATTACATTTAAATAAAGAGTAAGCAAAATGAAATAATATATTGTTTAAGGATATATACATATGTGATAAAAATTGGAGAAAAGGAAAAGATCTGATTATAAACTTTTTAAACAATGGTTATCTCTGGAGGACAGAAAGGGAAGTGATTATTTAAGGATTTGTAAAGTACTGATTGTTGGATATAAGGCTTCACTTTAAAACTATTTAAAAAACGCCATCTGTTACTTCAAAATAAAATTTTTTAAACAGCTTAACTAAAAAAAAATATCAGTAGTATTTAATCAAATTTAACAATGTTTCATTTTCTAAGTCTATGCGCCTAAAGAATTCACCCAAGTTTATCCAAAATTCAAGACCTGACCCAGGTCTTTTGGCTCCCATCCAGTGATGACCCCATCTTATATTTTACTGCATAAATAAATCACATTATTATAAATTAAATTTTTGAGTTTGCTTACCACTTTGATAGTACTTGGAATCATGTGTCCATCTGAAGCCAGTGCAAAGGCCGAAGTCAGTCAATTTAATATGACCATCACGATCAATCAAAATGTTATCAGGCTTAATATCCCTATGAATAAAACCCATTTTATGAACACTTTCGACTGCACAAGTAAGTTCTGCTATGTAGAACCGTGCCAGATTTTCTGGAAAGATGCCCATTCTAATTAAGAGGCTCATCATATCACCCCCGGGAATGTAATCCATCACAAAGTATAAATTGTCCTTATCTTGGAATGAATAATATAAGCGAACTACCCATTCATTGTCAGCTTCAGCCAGTATATCTCTCTCAGCTTTAACATGTGCGACTTGATTTCGAAGCAGAACATCTTTCTTTCGAAGAGTTTTTGTTGCATACAAAGCCTTAGTATCTACTTTTCTTGCTAGACACACTTCACCAAATGCTCCTATTCCTAGGGTCTTTATCTTCACAAACATAGACTTGTCCATTTTAGCCCTTTTAAGACGAATGTAGTTAGACTCTTTTTGGCAAAGCATCTTTCTCATTTGATCCTGGGCATCTTGAGATAATCCAACCTAGGTAAATAAACTAAATGTTAAATGGGGAATTGTCATCTTCAATATTCAGTATTAGAAATAGCTTAGAAGAAATTCAGGCATATATGTAAAGGTTAAATGCACAATAATTTTTAATAAAGCATGTTAGACATCTAGAATGTATTTCAGAGAAAATTATATGATCAAAAGTGTAGCTTAAGAGATAGTTAACAGAATGCACAAAGTAACTATGCAAATTCAGCTAAGGGAAACAAGAAAAGGAGGATACCAACAGTCAGCTTTCTATTCTTCTCTAATAGAACACTCAAAGAATAGCTTTCCAATGTGCAATAAAACACATATTTGTCCACATGCACTCTCAACTGTCTCCATGCATATTCATCCCAAATGATAGGATTAGATTGCCTTCACTAAATGCTACTTTTTGTGGATGTCTAGGTCTTAAATATTCTTCCTCTCATTTCATCCTACATGAAAAAAAATTCTTGCATTCCAAGCTCATTTGTTCTAAAAAATAAATAAATAAATAAATAAAAGTGATGTATTACAAACAGAACAATGCTTTCTCTACCCTATCAATCCTTTTCCTGTTCTCAAGAAGTAGGTACTAGTCATTGATACTCTTTTTTTTTACCTTTCTTAGAGCATCAGAGAAGGGGTAGGACTCAGTTCATTGCAACCACAAAATTAAGTGTCTCTATCTCATTTAAAAGGGACAAATTGTTTGGCTACAAAGTATCTTTTAGATATTTTGGAATATTTAAAAAAATAGTTGGTGTAACTCACAGAAATAGAAATAAAAAAAACTTCTAAGTAGATATGGAATACCTGATTTTGAAGGGTTTCTTTTGGCTAATAAAGAACTAATTAATAAAGATCTAACTGAAGAGTCTAAATGGAAAAAGAATTCAACTAGAAAAGTAGGGCCTAATTTTAGAAATGTCAAGACTAATTAAAATACAGCAACCTCATGCTTCTGTTAGGATGCACATTTCCATGCAACATCTTCTAAGAAAAGAGTGGCATGCCAAACTTAGTAATATAGAACTGTTTCTCTTAAAATCTTACTTGCCTACACAGTAATGGAGGCTACAGAAGTCAGCAAAGCTTCCAACACCATAAAAGTTTAAATCAGCTATTAGTGAAAGTGAAGAGGAAAAAGGAAAAATGAACTAAGAAAATACATACAGACAGACTTTAGTAAGAAATCCTAAGAACTACAATATGGATAAAGTCATAGAAATAATCATGGTTTTACTAAAACACAATTTAGTTTATAATAAGAATAACAATGTTGTATATAAAATCTGATTCAGAATAATCATTTTTGAAGAATAACTTTATGAAGTATGTGAAGTTGTTAAATCACAAGTTTGAACTTCTTGGATTTTGACTGGTAATAAGATGAGAATCAAATCTTGAAATTCTAAGCATATGATAAAAATGATGATGATGATCATGATACTATGTAGTATCTAG